AGTACCCCTTGTTTCCTTACTTTTGTCCCAATTCAATCCTACTATTTTCCCATTTTTAATGTTTTTTATTTACTTGTTTCCATTCTTTTTTCTTAATGTAGTAATTTACATTCAGTTATGATTGTGTGGTTAGGTTAATTATTATTCATGCTGATCACGTGCGCATAAATTAAAATGGCGTCAAACCACAAACCCACGCGGTGTCTGCACTCTGCAGCTAGATTTTGTCTTCCATTTTGTTCTCTCCTTGCTTCTTTTAGAAACTACCTTTGTGGTCCTTGACCCAAGCCCTGAGGAGTGATGTAAAAGCCAACTCGAGCAGTTCTCTGGTTTAAAAGATTATCCTCCCGATAGAAGAAGATGAAAGAAGAAGTCTAAAGAATTTTTCAGAAATTTTAATTTGGGCTTATTCTCCAGAATTGCTCCTGCTACATTACAGTTCACTTTAAAGGTACCAGGAGAATCGCTCAGTGAAGAAGAGCTCATCTAAACCATTTATAAGGCTGTACAATGTAAGATAAAAGAGTTATAAGCGTTTTTAAAAGTATAAAAACGGCCGCCATCTTGAAAAATCCACCTGAATCCAACATATAGGCTATCGCCTATATAATATTATAGTATCAAATTTAGCTTGTTGATTTAATGACTTCATAACTTAATGACATTTTGAGGATTATGATGTCTCAATTACTAGAAATGCACGTGAACGTTAGTGAATAATCAATGTAAGCAGTTGATGTACATGTACATATCAGTATAATCAGTGTTACTGTATCAGGTTGTTACAGTACATACGTAGGTTTCACTTACATTATCCACAACATCAGTTCTAGCTCCATTAGTTAATAGAATATCAACAGCTTCAATACTACCACTCTCAACAGCATTAAACAATGGAGTTCTGTTCCACTATAATAAAACATTAAGTGACTACCAATTTTAAATATTAATTACTTTATCTTTCACATTCACATCATATTCTCCTCTCTTAATCCAAAACTCAAGCATTTCAACTTTACCAGATTCACCAGCACAATGTAGTAGAGTTTTACCATACTATAAATATAATAATAAATAAACAACAAACAAAACTGCCAGCCTGCTATTGTATTAAGTAATTACATACATTGTAGGCAGTCTGCTTTGCTAAATGTGCACAGTTATTTACAGTATTAGGCAGTATTAACTCATCACTGGGCATGTGCAAACATAAATTTTGAATAGTAATATTTACAATTTGTACTCAGTCACAAATTTAGTTACCCATGAAACATTATGACTACACATGCAGGCAATATGTTAGCCTGCATGTGTGTTGGTGTTTGCAGTAATTTTGCAAATTTGCTAAATTTAATTTTAATGAAAAGACACTGCCAGCATGCAGCATAAATTGAATCTTAAATCTCCAAAAGTTACAGCTTTCAAATTTTATGTTGTATAATCATGGTCAAGTTTCAGCATAAAACTTACTTTATCCACAAGATCAGTTCTAGCTCCATTAGTTAATAGAATATCAACAGCTTCAATACTACCACTCTTAACAGCATTAAACAATGGAGTGCTGTTGTACTATAAATACAAAATTAAATAATACAAATAGAATTAAATAATTATTGAACAACTTTACCTTATCCGCAGCATTCACATCAGCTTTTCCTTTAGTTATTAATAATTTCACAATATTAGTTTTACTAGTTTCACTGGCATGGTGCAAAGGAGTACCATCATACTATATTAATACAACTATTTTATGATCATAATTAATAAAAACAGATACTTAAAAGTTGCTTACTAAAGCAAGTGCTAATATTGTGTGTAAGTAATGTATGGATACAATTATACATGTAGACCATACGGTTGGTGGGGTATTGATTTTTGTCTTAGTATTTTGCAGTTCATTTATATTGAAAAAATTTTAACCCCTACCACTCACACATAAAAAACTAATTATTGGGCTATAGCTCTAAATACTATTTTCAAGCCAGTGAAGAAGCCAGAATCTTAATCTATTATCCCATTTTTCAATATAAGCCATGTATCAGTGCTGTAGAAGTGAAAAAAAAAGTTTACTAGAGCCACGAATATGTGACCATAATTGACAAAAGGGCCCTTATGGCGGATTTTAAAATTCATCTTTAAAATGAAAAATATCAACCTGTGAGTGCTCTGTTAGTCAACAATTGTTTCTATAAGCTACATAGTAACTTTTTGCATCCTCTGGAGTAATTTTATGATTAATGGAGCTCAGGAAGTTGGATTTTTAGGCTATAGAGACCAATTTTCCTATCCGCCATAAGGTACCTTTTGTCAATTATGGTCACATATTTGTACCTAAGAATATTAGCTTCTATAGAAATTTTGGAGAAATATTGGACATTTGAAAATTACCATACCAAAATTACGGTACACTAAAATTATTAATGTATAGTTTTAATGCTAATAATCCTTTTAAAAAGCTAGCATGTTTAATCTTTTTAAAAAATAGTAAAACCTCATATGATGCACTGGCTGTTACATAACTACATGCATGTACTGGCAACTTACAGTATTAAAACCAATATTAGGATCAGCTCCTTTTTCAAGTAGCACATCAACAATTCCAATATTATTCTTCTTTATGGCTACAATAAGGGCAGGATTACTACCAGATTTATACTATTGTAACAAATTAAAAAATACAGTATAATACAGCTACAAACCTCAGTAGCATTGGGATTAGCTCCTTTCTCCAGTAACAATTTAACAATATCAGTATTACCTTTTTCAATGGCTATAATAAGAGCAGGAGAGCCACTAGATGTATACTATTATAACAAATTAGAATACTACAGAATACATGTACTGTAGCTACAAACCTCAGTAACATTAGGATCAGCTCCTTTCTCCAGTAACAATTTAACAATATCAGTATTACCTTTTTCAATGGCTATAATAAGAGCAGGAGAGCCACTAGATGTATACTATTATAACAAATTAGAATACTACAGAATACATGTACTGTAGCTACAAACCTCAGTAACATTAGGATCAGCTCCTTTCTCCAGTAACAATTTAACAATATCAGTATTACCTTTTTCAATGGCTATAATAAGAGCAGGAGAGCCACTAGATGTATACTATTATAACAAATTAGAATACTACAGAATACATGTACTGTAGCTACAAACCTTAGTAACATTAGGATCAGCTCCTTTCTCTAGTAACAATTTAACAATATCAATATTACCTTTTTCAATGGCTATAATAAGAGCAGGAGAGCCACCAAATTAGAATATTACAGTATACATGTAGCTACAAACCTCTGTAGCATTAGGATCAGCTCCAGCTTCAAGTAGACCAATAACTTTCTTAGGTTTAGTATGAGATTTTATAGACTTTATCAAATCTCTTCCCTACATATGTAATTACATGTAAAGCTAATATACAATTTATCATCGTACCAGACTGGAACTTTTCACTTCTTTCCCAATTGATGCAGCTTCGGGCCTCTGTTTAAAAAGAGATAATTACAGTTGTACATGTATATTAATTTAGCTTCACTTGTCTATAAAATTAAGATTAAGGTATTTACTTATTTACACTGTGCAATAAAGACTACCAATGCATTGCTATCATAGAATCACCAATATTAAGAGCCACCAAATATTCCCACTATAGTTATGTCTCTTTGTATGACCTACATTTTGCCATGCAATGTAGTACAAACTCAGTATAGACAGTACTGCTTAGCACAATCTGATCACTAATAAACAACTTAATAGCTTATTACTGAATTAACATCAAATAAAAAAAGCACAAAAACTAGTCGCACAAAATCAGCTTAACTAGACAAGACAACAATGTTCACAATGTTGACACAAATTATCTCAAAATTGGCTAGTTTAATAACTACATGTAAATTTCATTCTTTTAACACTACTGCATAGCAAAAAATTTCCATGGCAAATGATTTTATGGATTTCTTAATATTTCAAAATTCATAAAAATAAAATACACAAAAATTGATTTAATAAGGTTCAAGATGGCTGAAAAGTAGAAAATTACAAAAATTAAAGGCCACAAAATTGACTTTTTAATAGATTCGCAAAACAAATTTTCCACTATACATTGTATGATAGATATGTGTATGCATAATTTACTGTAGCTGTAAATGTGCTATACCTACCAAAGTAGTGCTCGTGGTGGAAATTTTTCCCTCCAATGATGTGGTCTGCATGATTGAAGAAGCATCAACCTTCTTTTCAAAGAAAATTTATCAATGAAAAGTAATTATTATACTGACGTACTGGTTCTATTTTAGCAGCAGTGGATTCAATCTGTGGGTCTGAAAATATAAAAATAAAAAATAATTGTATATAAACTAATAAAAGCTAATATACAGGTAGTAAAAGTATTATACCTTCTTTCTTGCCCTCAAAATCTTCTGTAAAAAATTAAAATATACAATGTAAATAATTTTGCATACTGCACCATCTTACCTTCCTCTTCTTGTGGTAATTCAACTACTCTAATATCATTGTCCTCTAGCTTTTTCAATATTACTGGATCCTTGAGATCTCTCATGACATCATCAAGAACACATGGCAGTATAGCATAAGTGATGATAATACAGTTCTTCCTTAATTGTTTTAGAATCGCATCAGATGACCATGAGAATTCACCAAAGGTCGATACCCATGTATAAACACAAGTGAGTAACCAAGGCTTCTCAAGATGAAAAGAAATGTAAGGTAAGCCAAGAGGAGCAGTAGGAGATAGATCAGATTGTTTTTCAAATAAAGGTATCAAGTCATTAAAGGAAGCTTTACTCAACAATTTAGCATATTCTTTTTCATATTCAAGTAAATGCCGGTTAATCTCATCATCATTCTTAGCAAATTCAATAATGAGTTTCTTCAATAGCTTGTAATTGAGATAACCAATGAAATGAAAATCACTTAGAAACTCAAAAAAGCTTTTAAAATCATTAACCTTCTTGAGAATATCAATGCAGGGCATTAATTCAGGAACAACACTAGCTTTTCTCTTTAAACATTCCTTTATCAAAAACTTTGCATCTTCTACATCAATAGAATTACTTTCAAGTGACTTTTTCACTGCAAGAGCAAGCGAAACATATTTTCCATGTAATTCATTAGTAGAGTCTTGCAAATCATCAACTTGATCAACTATGCGCTCAAGTTTACGAACACCTACAACAATACATAAGCTATAGTTACTATATAATAAAAAAATGACAAAACAAAAATTGAACCAGTGACCTTGTGATAATCATAAAACACTGCACTTCAAAAGTTAGGTTATTTGAAACAATCTAAACAACTGGGCTATATATACAGCCATAACATTTTAGGGATGCACGTTTATTTGAGCTGGGCTTGTAATCAGGCAATACGGTAGATATTTCAATTCATAATATTTTAAAGCAAGCAAGTAAAGATTGCATCTCCTCTATAACATGCACCATCTATAACAGACAATGCTATACATAACCTGCGCGTTACCTCTCACCTTCAGATCAAAGGCCTAAGGTGGAGCCTGACTAAAGCCACTCCCCTGGTTGGCAGAATGCAGTACAAACGAAAGGAAGAAAAGAATAAAAAAGCAAATGAGCAGTTCTTCTTACATCTATTCTTTAAATTAGAGCTGCTACTTCTGCTATACACACCAATGAATCAGCGAGGAGCCTCTTTGCTGCTATAAACTACTACTTTCCTTCTTATTTTTGAAATTTTCCTCGATCTCCATTCCTTCGATGCAGCTTTCTGCCAACCAAGGGGTGTGGTACTTGCATGGGTGAAGATTTCTACGCCTACATTTAATCACGATTTAATGGTATTCATACTTTACTTCAAAGGAAGTGTGAACTAACGCGCAGGTTATGTATACTGGCTCACTTTCAGTTGTAGGCAGTGTTTGGAGTGTGGCTAATGAAACGTCACTTCTTGACATAGTAATAAATAGATCTAAGTAAAATAAAAGCAATTAATAAAATACTGATTATTTAAAGCAAAGCATCTTACTTTGTTTTTCTGTGTCAATACCATCAGCTAC